ATCTTTGTATGTAGGGCTGTCAAGCGATTAAAAAATTAATTGCACTGTTAAACAATAATAGAATACCATTTATTTAAATATTTTTGGATGTTTTCTAAATTTTCAAATATATTGATTTCAGTTACAACACAAATACAAAGTGTACAGTTCTCCCTTTATATTTATTTTTATTACAAATATTTGTACTGTAAAAAACAAAAGTAGTATTTTTCAATTCACCTCATACAAGTACTGGAGTGCAGTCTCTTTATCATGAAAGTTGAACTTACAAATGTAGACTTATGTACAAAAAATAACTGCATTCAAAAATAAAACAGTCCCTACAAGTCCACTCAGTCCAACTTCAGCCAATTGCTCAGACAAACAAGTTTGGTTTCAATTTGCAGGAGCTAATGCTGCCCGCTTCTTATTTACGTCACCTGAAAGTAAGAACAGGCGTTCTCATGGCACTGTTGTAGCTGGGGTTGCAAGATATTTACATGCCAGATGCACTAATGATTCATATGTCCCTTCGTCTTCAACCATCATTCCATAGGACATGCGTCCATGCTGATGATGGGTTCTGCTCAATAATGATCAAAAGCAGTGCTGGCTGACTGCATGTTCATTTTCATCATCTGAGTCAGATGCCACCAGTAGAAGGTTGATTTTCTTTTTTGATGGTTCGGGTTCTGTAATTTCCGCTTTGGAGTGTTAGTCTTTTAAGACTTCTGAAAGCATGCTCCACAACTCGTTCCTCTCAGATTTTGGAAGGCACTTCAGATTCCTAAACCTTGGGTCAAGTGCTCTAGCTATTTTTAGAAATCTCACATTGGTATCTTCTTTGCATTTTGTCAAATCTGCAATGAAAGTATTTTTAAAACGAACATGTGCTGGGTCATCATCCGAGATTGCTATAACATGGAAATATATGGCAGAATGTGGGTAAAACAGAACAGGAGACATACAATTCTCCCCCAAGGAGTTCAGTCACAAATCTAATTAACGCATTATTATTTTTAACAAGCATCATCAGCATGGAAGCATGTCCTCTGGAATGGTGGCCAAAGCATAAAGGGGCATACGAATGTTTAGCATATCTGGCATGTAAATACCTGGCAATGCCTTCTACAAAAGTGCCATGCAAACGCGTGTTCTCACTTTCAGGTGCCGTTGTAAATAAGAAGCAGGCAGCAGTATCTCCCATAAATATAAACAAACTTGTTTGTCTTAGCGATTGGCTGAACAAGAAGTAGGACTGAGTGGACTTGTAGCCTCTAAAGTTTGACATTGTTTTGGTTTTGAGTGCAGTTATGAAACAAACAAACAAAAGAAAGAAATCTACATTTTTAAGTTACACTTTCATGATAAAGAGATTGTACTATAGTACTTGTATGAGGTGAATTGAAAAATATTATTTTTCATTTAACATTTTTACAGTGCAAATATTTGTAATAAAAATAATATAAAGTGAGCTCTGTACTCTTTGTATTCTGTGTTGTAACAGAAATCAATATATATATCCAAAATATTTAATACATTTCAATTGGTATTCAATTGTTTAACAGTGTGATTAATCGCGATTAACTTTTTTAATTGCCATTAATTTTTTTGTGTTAATCATGTGAGTTAACTGTGATTAATGGATAGCCCTAATTCTATTATATTTAAGTGCCAGGGTATATCCCCTGTTGCTTATAGGAATGTCAGTAATTCAGTACGTTTTAACTGTATACATACTAATGATAATTCATAAGTGCATGAAACTTTGGTAAATATACTGGTGGTCAGTTTCTAACATCCTATCCTATTATTAGTAGGATATTATTGTGCCTTTTAAAAACTGGAAATTTTTTCACAAGTGTTGATTCAATGCATGCTTTCTGCCTTAATGCATTGACTGTTTGCTCCCTTGTGCTGCGAGTTAAAGCCCTTGCAGGTAATTCAGACTTGTGGTAAGTAAGCAGGACTGAGTTTTGGAATGTGTTGTCTTCTTGTATTTGCTTTCCTAAAACTTGAAAATTAGACAAGAGGGTGATGTCAGGCCAAATTCAGTGGTTGAGAACTAAAAGCTCCTGTCCATAAGAGACAGCAAAAAAACTCCAGAAGAAGAGGGGCAAGAGTGGAGTGGAAAGGCAAGTATTTGTTTCACTTTCTGGTGTATTCAAAAATCTTACTTCAAGCTTGTGTTAAAAAACCTAGTGACAAGAACAGATTTCTCACCTAGAGTAAAAACTGTACTGTTAGAAATCAATCTTTTTGGGGTATCATAGGGAAACATAGAGATCTTACCTTGATTGATTTTTCCAGTTAGGATACAAATTTACATTCTTGCCACCACGTCTTGTTTACAATCAAGTGGTGGTTGATTAGGTGTTTTTTTTTTGTCCTGAGATTTTTTTTATGTAGCTGATTTGGTTATTGGTGTGGGTGATGACAAAAAAATCAAATAGTTTAGATTCTAAAGGCATTTTTCAAAGAATTAATGAAGTAATGGTTTAATTTTCCCTTCTCCCTTTAAAGGTAGCTGCAATTTGATTAAAATTCAAGAATGTGTTGATGAGTAAGGCAGCACACATTCTTTTAGTATTCAGTAATAGAAGAATGCTTATCTTTGCCTCTGGAAATTTGTGCAACTTATTGAGCAGATTTTAGATTTTTTTATTATTGAATCTTTAAAAAGGCTCAATATTTTGTAAAATCCTTGTCTATTGTAAAAATCTCATGTACCATTAAATATGTACATTGTTATGGTGAAGGAGCACAGCTGGTATTGCTTTTCAATATTTGACTGCCTTCTTTGCAAGTTATTGAAATGCTGTTGTGCATGAATCACCACTTGGACGACAAGTGACATTTTTCATTCTTTACTAATCACCCTGCAGGGTGGGAGGGTAGTAGTAGATTCACTAGAAATACCATTAAGAATGACATATTAAGTTCCTAGTTGGCCTCATTATGAAATTGAGAAAAATCAAGAAAGCATTACGTGGTATACATGGGGTTTTGTTGTTGTTGTTTGTTTTTTAAATAAAACAGTAAATGATGCATAGCAGCATTATTGTGTAATAGATAAATAGGTACAATCTCAAAGTCTGGAATTACATTAGTAACTCTGTTTTTAAGGTTGGGACAGTAAGCTTGATTTTTGACATCCCTTTCCAAAAATGTCTTTAATCCTCATTTTCCCACTCAAATTTATGATACTCGTCTGACACGGCGAATGTTTATTAAAAATTTTGAGGTTTGTAGGATAAAACTGTTTTGATGAAAGAAGTACAATTTTTTTTTCAAGCTTTTGAAAAAAAGCCATCTTTACTACTTTGAGCACTACATTGCAAAATATATGTGTATATATATACACACACCTCTACCCCGATATAACGTGACCCGATATAACACAAATTCTGATATAACGCGGTAAAGCAGTGCTCTGGGGGGCGGGGCTGCACACTCTGGCGGATCAAAGCAAGTTCGATATAACGCGGTTTCACCTATAACACGGTAAGATTTTTTTGGCTCCCGAGGACAGCGTTATATCGGGGTAGAGGTGTATGTATATAATTTGTCCAACGATTACTGTTTTATAGGAATTTCTTTGACACTCGTCATTGTTGTATTTAGTTACTTACAGTATATTTGTCAGTTTGGATAGTTAATTTTGTAGTTATTATACATACTATGCATTTTTAACTTGTAAGACCACCTCAAAATCTTGTCAGAGTGCACAACCTGAAAAAGGGAGTCAATATGTTGGAAAACTTTGTGGCTGGATCACTTTAGTTCAAGGAAGTTGGACATCGCCAGCAAAATATTTGATTTGAATATCAAGGACCAGGTCCTAGAATCTGGACAACTTCTTTCCATTGCAGGAATGTAGGAAGTGGAGCAGATGTCCTTATCTTTCCATATCCCTTCCCATAATCCTGGGGTCAAGCAGCAGGCAGAAAGGGTAAAGAGCAATTCTACTTCTGGCACAAACTGGATCAATGTTATCCCAGCTTGTAAAGGCTCCCAACAGCTGTTCCACTGTTCTAGGACTTGAGGACCTAATGGTGTTCCAGCCACTCCCCCTCCTATCTCAGAGTATCTCCTATCAGGGGCAGCATCAAGTTGACTATACCATCTATATGCTAGCCAGGAATTCCCCAATGGAAGGAGTCAGTCCCCAGGTTGTTCACGCCAGTTTTCCAGTGGGTCCTAAGATCTTATACTATCTTGTGTTAATACATAGCATTCAGTGTATCTCTTTATACTATATCTGTAATTACAGCAAAATATATTATTGCTATCAGAGGTACAGACATTTGCAATTTTATCACATTTCAGTGTAGTGTATTAAAAAAAAATTTACATCTAACAATGTGTGAATATAATCTAACATTTTGACACCACATGCAACTTTTAAGTCTTGTAGGATTTTGAGGTCTATCTATATGCTCCTATTCCTTTAAATGGGCAAATATTTAAACTATTTCTCATTACAGTCATACTCTGTTTTTTCTTGTAGACAGCAATGGAGAATCAACATATGACATTATTTTAAGGAAGGATATGTGGTAAAGAGCTGAATAGCTTTCTAACCCCATCCATTCAGCTATAAGAAGAATCTTTAAATGTAGCACATTATATTTAATTATAAAGCATATATAGGTGTTAGAAAGCCTCTTTGATATTGCTGGTATTTTTGTGCATTGTGACTTGGTTATTTGCATATATATCAATGTAACTGTTTCACATCTACAATTATTGCTACTACTATAGCTATCATAGTGCCTAGGAGCCCTCATTGTACTAGGTGCTGTACAAACAGTTCTTCCTAAATTCTATAAATCAAAAGTATATTGGCATTGGCATTCTTTTTATCAGTTAATCAAAGGGGGGAAATCTGCACAAAAATTTTGCTCTGGGCATGTATGTATTTTTTAGTCTTTTTAAGTGTCTGGGGAGAGTTTTTAAATACTTTCTTGAGTTGTATTACAGTTTTGATTTTGTTCTGATTAGGTGTTTTTCTTCCTCAGTTTTGGCAAGCGTTCTGCAGGAAGCTTCAGGCGTGGCTGTGAATGCATTGTTTTAGAGCCATCTGAAATGATTGTGGTAAGATTGTGGTACCCATTTCTTTCAAACAGTATTTTTTCAAATTAAATTACACTTTCAAGTTCTCATTAAGCATAGACAAAATTAGGTAACGCTTGAAATTACTTTGAATTGTCTATACTATACTCAGTTTAAGGTAGAACTAAATTTAGTGTGTGTGGTTTTTCTTTTTTAATGTAATGCCCTAGTTTGCAATCATAATACATAGCACAAAAGTTGGAAACACCATTTAATTAAATGAATGAAATAAACCTTTCAATAAAGATAAACTGCAAGTTTAAAAAAGTCTATTTAAAAATGCCTGTAAGGATAAGACAATCATATTTGAAGTAGAGATGACAACTATGATTATCCACGAGTATTTATGACATGATAATTAAGCATCTTTGTTTAAAATTGATAAACTAAGTTTAGTTTAAGAATTATTAACAGTTGATGATTAAATTCTGTTTTATTCCAGACATGTAAGGCTTGAGAATGCAGTTTAGGGATATTTTTTACTATTATAGTTAAAATTTTGTCGTCATTACTAGTGTAAAGACATATTTGTCATTTAGAACACCTGCTGTGGTCCAGTGCAGAATAGCTTTATTCCCCAGAGTTTTCTCAAATTCAACAGTTCTATCAGTGTCATAGGGCACATCATCCAAACAGATATACCTCCATGACAGGAGAGATTAAATACTTTTGCTCTCTTTCTGAAGGACGTGGTATTCAGACAATACAGACATAATCACCATATAGCCATACACCAAATTATCCAAGCACCATATTATCCAAATGCAGGGCAAATCATATTCAATTGCTGAAAATAATGCCATCTGTATTTACTGGAGATGTTTTAGAAATCAGGATTAGTGAATTAGGCAGTATTGTAGAAGATGTGAGTTATTCATACCTGCAGTATATCATAGAATCATAGGACTGGAAAGGACCTCGAGAGGTCTTCTAATCCAGTTCCCTGCACTCAAGGCAGGACTAAGTATTAGAGCATCCCTGAGGTTATTGTCTAACCTGCTCTTAAAAATCTCCAAGGATAGAGATCCAAATGGCCTGACTTCTAGAAGCATTAAAGAATAGCTTTCACACAAAGTGTAACTTTCTAACTTATTTAAAATGTATATCCATTAGTCTTCAGGTTTTTTAAATTCTTTGCCACTTTCACTCTAAATGAGGGGTCTCAAACTTAATTTACCTTAGGGCCAGTGCCAGTCCTCAAATCCTCTCAGCGGGCCAATAATATCACTCATGTCACCCAGAACCCCCCCCCCAACTCTGCACCCCACCTGCCTAAGGCTCTGGGAGGGAGTTTGGGTGGGGGAGGAGGTCTGGGGTAGGGGTCCAGGCTCTGGGAGGGAATTTGGGTGCAGAAGGGGTGAGAGGTTGTGCTCTGGGAGGAGGTTTGGGTGGGGGAGGGGCCTGGGGTGCAGAATGGAGTTTGGGTGCAGGCTCTGGGCTGGGGTAGGGAGTGGGGTTGCACGCTCTGGGAGGGAGTTGGAGGCGGGAGGAGGTGTGTGGGAAGGGGGAGGGGGTGCAGGCTCTGGGAGAGGGTTGGGGGATGTGGCGCTTACCTGGGGCTCCAACGCAGGGTGGGCAGTTTCCCATTGGGTGCAGGGACGCTCAGGGTGGGGGCAGCACGCGGAGGCACAGCCCCGCAGGTGGTGCCAAGGGAGAGACCCAGCCCCAAAATTGCTGGAGCACCGCAGGTCACATTGGGGAGGTTCTCGGGCCACAGATGGCCCATGGGCCGGGACTTTGAGACCCCTGCTCTAAATTAATACATTGGTTGTGTAATAGCAGTTTACCTTGTCCTCTGTCACCATCCTGCTAATAAAACTCTGATGCATTCTATTTTAATGACTTCACAGCATAGAGGGAAGTAGAAATGAGAAATGCCCATTCCTCCCCCCGCCCTCCAATCCAAACCCCATAATTCTGCTGTGGGGAAAATGGCAGTCAGCTCCTTTCAAGGTGTGAATCCACTCACTTTGTCTCCCTGTTTCCATTGTACCTTGTATATGTGGCTGCAGGTTCCGGGAACAGCTTGCTATCCCCAATTCCTGCTGCTATGATACCCATCTTTAGCTTTGGGTGGTACCAATGAATGCCTTTGGTACACAGCTCTTTGATGGGTTGGAGGAAAGTGAGGGACACAAAATGTGGGGGGTGGGGGGGGAGAGGACAGAGAAAATAAGAAAAGGGGCCTAGCGGGGTGACAGGGAAAAGAGACCTGAAAAAAAAGCTGCAGCTGTGGTAAGGCATGATGAGAGGGGCCTGTGGTAGGTGCTGGATGAGGGCACTTAGCTGACAATCCATCGAAAGTAGGTCGTGAATAAGAAGAGCTTTGGAACCTCTTAGTTAAACCTTTGAAGTATACTTTGGCCCAACCTTTTGGAGGACTGACTGCACTTTGAGTGGAAAGAACTCAATATTCAGAGGACAACATGTGGAGCAGCTACGAAGTCATCACCACACATCTGTTGCATACCATAAGTGTCTATGGGTATGTCTACACTGCAATTAAAAACCTGTGGCTGGCCTGTGCCAGCTTGCTCGGGCAAAGCTGTTTAATAATGGTGTAGACCTTTTGGGCCTGGGCTGGAGCCTGAGTTCTAGGATTCTATGAGGTGGGAGGGTCCCAGAGCTTGGGCTGCAGCCCAAACCTGAACGTCTACACTGCAATTAACAGCCCATTAGCCCAAGCCCCATGAGCCTGAGTCACTGGCATGGGCCAGCCACAGGTATCTAATTGTGCTGTAGACATACCCTTAATAGTTATGTTTAGTCATACTTTATACACCTGGTTAGGGTAGGACTGGTTCTTATTAAAACTTCTTGTCATGTCAGCAGAATGTAATGTGTTTCATTTGTATAGATGGTGAAAAGAAACATGACAAGGAAAAAATCACCTGCATGGTGGTAGTTTGTCATCATCTTCTTTTCTTAACCCACCTACCACTACTTACGGCCTATTTCTCTTGGGGAATAATCTTTTTGGCCTTGGGATACAGATTGAGGAATGTGACTGGATTTAATCTGCACATAAGGAAAATACTAGACAGTTTTTGCCACTTTCTGCTTCCTTGTGAATGTGGTGTAATTCTAGCATGAAATGATGGTGTTTTAATAGTAAGATGGGCACAGGGGAGAGAGATACAAAAAGCCAAATTACTACAAACTTTATCTTGCATGAAAGTCAGAATTCTGAATTGTAAAAATATTTTCATAGCAATACATTACTATGTAGTAACATGACTGCGACTTTGCTGCAGAACACCAGAACACCTCCAGAACACAGAGAGGATATTGATATTGCTGAGCAGAAAATTCCTTATTCATACACTCATCTACTAGAAATGTTCTGGGTTTTTTTCCTTTGCTATTATTACAAAGTAAATTTCTTTTTATGTAAATTTAATCTTTTTCAAATTTCTCTGATGTGAAAATTCCTCTTTAAAGTCTCAAAATATTTAAAATACGTAATTAAAACAGTGTTGCCTATTGAAGAGAGGCAGGATGGGAGTGGAAGGTCCCAGTATGACCCGTTGAAATCTGTAGGAAAGCTACAAGTTCCTTCCCATGGGAGAGCTTCGTTTGCCAGTGTATTGCATAGACAAAAACATCACTGTGCAAGAATAAAAATTGAGGAAAAGGATGTTAACTTTTTTTTTTTAAATAGAGTAAGGCACTTATATAATATGTGAAAGTGCTCAATAACTCTTTTCATGGTAATACTTGTTCTTTCTCATCCCTGCGGACATTTGATTTCTTGGCACCGAGTTCATGCTTTTCACTGTTGAAAATGCAGGAAATTCATAACCAACCACATTTTCTGAAATGGAGTTCAAAGTGCCCTTTCATAAACTAAAGTTTAAACTAAAGTGGGCTTGTTCAGTATCAGTGGCACTTATACTTAAGGATTGTATAAAATAAAAGCTTCCACATGACTAAGAGTAAAAGAAAAGATAGGCTTCTCTTTTATTGCAGAATATGCAGTAACTTTCATTTGTAGGGAAATGATCCTTCATTGTAATCATTTTATTATAGGTGGACTATATGGATGAAAATGAAGAATATTTCCAGCGTCAAGCTTCCCATAGACAATCCCGAAGGAGATTTAGGAAAATCAATCAAAAAGGAGAAAGACAAACTATTATTGATACTGTGGATCCTTATCCTGTGGGGAAGCCACCTTTACCTAGAGGTTATCATACGGTAAGTTACCTATATTTGTTTTAAATACAAGACAAGGGAAAAACATTTTTACAAAAATAATTACCTGAAAGGTCAAATTCACTGTGGGAGTTTCTCCTTAGGGTATCAGTGAATTTGGCCCAAAATGAGTGCGTGTGCCCATGTAATTTGCTTCATAACTCAGTTGAGAACACTTAGCTTGTTGCACATTTATTGTTGTTAAACAATGCTGGCAAGAGGACAGCACATAGCTTTACTCACAATTCCAGTCATTTTTGGCAACTTTGAAACAAATCAGTTACCTAATACATGTGATTTAAATTTCCTGTCAATAATTGAAAATGTAATGGAAATATTTTGGAGTACAGTATTCCTGTGGCTAATCAGTAAAGCATTCATTTTTATGTATAGCAATTGTTTTCTGAAAAGACCTGTATTGCGTTGTGGTAGAAATAGTCCATGATTTGGCTTGTCATTTTTCTATGCAAGACCCAGAGCTGGGAATATTAAACTAACTTTTATTGCTGACTAATACAAGACCAGAAGTTTCAGTCTGAACCATGATATTTTTGCCCAGAGTGAAATACTGCAGTCTGTCCTTTATCATCAGACAAAACATCGTCAGAATTTTCTTTAAAATAGTTTTTGTGTAATTTTACAGGTTGAAAATTATAGGCTTTCTTCATAAAAGATGAAGGATCATAAGTACTAATATTTTAAATGTGTTCTACAAAATTATTTGTTGGATTATTTTATTTTTCTATTGAGCAAGGGTCTACTAGGATAAGAGTAATTAGTTTTGCTGTTTACTTCAGCAGCATACAAAATACTCAGAAAAGTAAGTGGCCTTCAGATCCTGTACTCAGCTGTTTTTTTATGGCCCTGAACCTCCAAAAATATACTACTACACACATAGATAACTTTATGCATGTGATTGGTCATATTGAGTATAAAGTTACTCAAGCACACAAGTGTTTGCAGAATCAGGGCTTGATTGTTTTAAAAATGCTGTCTCTAATTTGAAGTAGTGGTTTTTCCCCTCATTTTCTCCCTACCCATCCACATTCCTTTACTTGTTGCCAATTCCCTGTTGTAATCCATTGCATGACTAAATGTGTAGATGTTTGATTACATCCACTGTTAGAGATTTTTTCCTCCTGAGTTAAATAAATACATCTTACAGCAACACTTTATGTATTTTGTTTATACAACAGGCCCCTTTTAATGGCTTAATGTTCTGTGCAATTTTGATTTTTTCCAAATTTATTATGAATTTCTGAGTTGAGTCATTTCATTTGGCTCATTCGTATAACTCTTTTGCAGTTTTAAGATAAGAGATTATACTAGTTTATCACAAACCACCTTTATGTGGCATGCATGTTTGGGTGATGTGGAGGAAGGAATCATTGATGGTTTTTATATAGATGTAACTTATACATCTAATCTACTATTTGAAAAATGGTAACTAGACTTGAGAATGTCATTTGCTTTAGGAGGGCCACACGTGTTGTATAAATTACTTTTTAAGAATACATAATGGGTTGGTGTAGATTTAAATCCAGTACTAAGAGCAAAAGCTCATTGTTAATCATTCTGTTGAAGTTCATAATGAATTTACAAGTCTACTGGGAAATACATTATGAGAATGCCAGGTAGACTGTCAGTAAAACCTGAAATAATTACTGACAATTTTTTTTTTAAATCAACGTATAATTTAAATTAATTATTTAATTACTTGAGATCCTTTTTTTAGGGAAAATATTAAGAGCAGCAAGTTCAAATCGGAATTATGGAAATTGAAGATTTTACCAAGCACTATAAGAATAAAAATAATCTTCATTGTTTACATTCCAATCACATTGATATTATTTATATTCTCTATACTGCATTTTCCAGTCACTCACATCTGTGTAGGTTGTCTCTTCTTCATTCTCCTGCCTTTTGGCCACCCAAAAGGCTTTTTGTTTGTTTTAAAATCTAAATTGTTTGAAAATCTAAATGTCTTTAAAATGGTACTGAAATGTATTCTCTGAAACTGATAGGAATGCAAAGTGCATTATTTTAGTACAACTCCTGAGGGGTTCTGACCATTCACAATTCCCATTAGTCAGCATCTCTCAGGATCAGGCCTTCAGTTATCTAAAATTTAGAAGTTGGTATGAATAAACTAACACATTTTTTAAAAAAGATTTTGAAAATCCCCATATGAAATGAATGGTCAAGTATATTGGATTAGTCTTCAGTTGCATGATCTAATTTAGTATCCATTGTGGGTATGTTTTGATTTGCATGTTAAATACATTAAGATCAATAATAAAAAATAAAATAACATCATCCAGAAAATAGATTGCATAGCTTTAGAGTAAACTAGATTCCTGAATTTTATTTTGTACAAGCTCCTTACTTACCACATCACTGAAATGTTTGCTGAAAGATTATCAATATTTTACTTCACATTGGCCCAATTGATTGTGTACTTAAAAAGCTGGTGTTCGAAATAGTCAAAAAATGACATGCAAAATAGCATCTCTGAAGGAAGTTGGCTATAGTGAAAATGTAGATGAAATTATATAAAGATAGTTATAAAATGGAAAATGCATGACAATACTTTGCAAAAATTGTAAATAAAGCTAAATGCATTATGTTTAATTGTTGCATGGATTACAGAACATTTACACAAACAGCCAATTTATCAGGGAACAGGACTCGCTTTAAAATAATTGTAACATTATCTGATGGTGGAATGTACTATAGCAAGTGTGATAATGTTCATCTTTTCCTTTCTTCCTATATGGCATTCATTTCATTTTGGCTCACAGGAATGCACTAAACCTCAGGTATTGTAATTTATACGTATGGTCCACTAACAGTTTTACTTGTAAGTTTGCAGTGTGACTAATTGTCATAATACCAATGCAGTGTTATGGCTAAATTTGTGTCCTACCTTTGTTTTTTCTTTATTGATGTTTTCTGTATTTCTTCTATAGTGAGAATGCTTAAAATAAATGTGGGATTTGGTGACAGCACACAGTCTCCTTAACCTGATTACAGTAGACCCTCAGAGTTAGACACCTCGGGAAAGGAGGTTGTCCGTAACTGAAATGTTCCATAACTGATCAAAATTCAGCTCCGGCTCCAGTAGTTCACACTCTGGGCCAGGTTCCATAGGCAGCTTCCTTGCAGGCAGCTTCTTTCCCTGCTGGGGCAAGCTTGTCCTCTGACTGCGGTGGGGTGTGAGGGGTGGTGGTGGTGAAAACAGTGCATCTCCTTCCCAGCGGGGGGATTGGGGGTGGTGAAAACAGCAACCCCCCTCCCAAGGGGTGTGTGTGAAAACAGCACCCATGGCTTACATGAAAGAATCGCAGACCCCAGTGCTGCTCTTGCTCTGGCTGCCTTGAGCTGGCAGTGAGGGCTCACAGCTTCGCCTGTGAATCTGTAAGGGGGTGGGGGTGGGGATAGAGGTGGGGACAGGCAGCCCAGATGTGTCTACCTTCAAGATACAACACAGGCATAGTACTGTATTTGCTTTTTTTTTTTGGTCTCCGCTACTGCCTGAGTGGTTACTTCTGGTTTCACATGGTGTCTGGTTGACCAGTCAGTTTGTAACTCTGGCGTTTGTATCTTTGAGGATCTACTGTAATTTATCTTCTTCCTTGCCTTCATGACATCACAAGATTGAGGCAATATCACTGGAGGCTGATGTGCAAAGCACAGAAATAAGGAAAATAGGTAGTATATTTAACAGAATGCATTTATGTATTTCCTCAGTATAGATCACTTATTAGACTTTTGTATTGGTTCAAAAAATAAAGTCCATTTGCAGCTGTTCTGCCCTTGCACTTTGTAAGGTCAGGAAAATAAGTTGGAGAAATTAAAAAGTAGGCAGTGGAAATTTCGTTAGCTGAACATTTGTAGGTTTTGCTTTTGCCATTTTGCTGCTGTTTGATTCAGCATGAGACAGTGAGATTAGACAGGTTTCAGAGTAGCAGCCGTGTTAGTCTGTATCTGCAAAAAGAACAGGAGTACTTGTGGCACCTTAGAGACTAACAAATTTATTAGAGCATAAGCTTTCGTGGGCTACTGCCCACTTCTTCGGCAGGGCCGGCTCTAGGATTTTTGCCGCCCAAAGCAAAAACAATTTTGGCCGCCCCCCTGCCTTATTTAATTACCCCACCCCCAGCCCCGCCTCAACTCCGTCCCTTCCCCAAATCCCCAGCCCTGCCT